TGTCTTTCCACAGCTTTTTTTCCCGCCACGCCAAGGGGTGGCGGTGAGCTTTTATCTCTTGCTTCCGGTTGTAGAGAAACGAGAGAAAGAGTTCTTTTTGCGCGCTCTGTACACTTGTCATAAGGGAGAAAAGCACACACCAGAGAGGAAAAAGCGCCGTACAAGTTTCACAATCAATGGTAAGCTTTTTTCACACTATCTCATTGAATTGTTGGTGGACGGAAAAAATTCCACTCCTGGCATTTTGATATTTCCCGGGTGGGTTTTATCAGTGGCGCAGCAGAAGAAATTTTAACACTAAATGCTAGGGATTCCTCGGAAGAGTTGACGTCAACGGCACATCATCGCTTTTCTTCCTGTCCACGCTGTGCGACAGCTTGTCCAAAAGAGAGTTGTGTGGCAGTGCAAGTGATAGAGCAGCGCAGTTTTTTGTTCTGCTGATTCTCAGAAAAATTCAATGAATCGTAAATTTTCCTTTGCTATCTCTGCAAGCTTTGATAACAAGCATGGTTGCGTGATAGCGCATTCTTGAGAAGTTCGCGGCTATTACTTCACGTGTTTGGCAGCTGAAGGAAGAGGGATGAGTGAAGGATTTGCGCGCTGAATCCGGTGGCTGAGAAAAGTATCTCTATGAGTGCAAATCGCAGACAAAGTGTCGTGTAAGTTCACGCTTCTGTGGGGGGAGGAGAAAAAGCACACGCTCGCTGTCAATTGAACTCGTGCAAAGGTGTAAAAACTGTCAATTGATAATCAGTTTTTTACACCTTCGAGCGAGAGACACGAGAGTGTGTGTGCGCGACTATGAGAGAGTTATTTAATAACACTACGCAATTACATTATTATTGATCAACCCTAGTTTTCATTGACCTGGAATGCGACCACTCGCCGTCGTGGGGAATTTAGGGCGAGGGAACGGCAAGACGTAAAGCGGCAGAGAGTGTGGTAGCTCAATGTAGTATTTACTAATGCATGGGTGTAATATGTGTGTGGTGATGTGTTTTTTTCCCCGAGAAAGATTCTCATAGGCGCGCATGCACACAGCCACAAGCGTTCTCCTACCGAACTCAAAATGATGATGATGATGGGAAATGAAAAAAGGGGCTTTCGAGTGAGATGGCGCTATGGTGAAAAATAATTGGGGACAATAGAGGTGTATTAGTAGGTCTCTCGTGTCTCTTTCTCGCCCCCGAACGGCAGTGGCAGTTTCACGGGAAAGGCCACACACGGTGTAGATTTCCCAACAGCTCGCGAATCCACTGAGAGAGCTTGTGTTTGTGTGTGTGAGTGTGTGTGTGTGTGTGTGGAATTGGAGGGAATATGTTTGTTGGGGAGAGAGAAGAATCAATTGGCAAAAAAGAGCGCCAGCAGAGACACGATATGGGGTTGCGAAGCGGAGTGTCTGTACATTTTGAGATGCATTCAATATATAATCAAAATTGAATTTATCACTCTGCACAACTTTGGGAAAAATCTACCTTTTTTCTCGCATCTCGTATACGTTTTTCCTCTCTCTCTCTCTCTTTCACACACATTCGTTCTCTATATAGTAAATTTCCCGGGGGATTTTCAGCAATGAGGGCCTGCACTCACTTTGGTACTTTTTCCACGTATGGATGAACAAACATTTGTGAATATTTTATATGTCGCCTTGTCCTTTTTGCACTTTTCTCTGCACTGTGCTCCAGTTTTTTCTTCTCCTGGTTGCTGCTCGATCCATCAATTTGTTGTGTGTGAGGAGAGATAGAGAATTGAAGACCCAAAAACATTTCATGTGAACGTAAAGTTTGGCGTATTGGTCGTAAAAAAAAGAAGAGAAAAAAAACGTGTGTGCGGGTGCAGGAAAGCATGATTTATTATGGGTTGGGGTGACACTTTTGGAGATTGTCAGAAAATTGGGTTTTGAGTTGTGCTCAGTTGGATGAAAGTTAAAGTGCAGGTGATTTGAGTGAAATTGGTTGAATGCAATTAGAAAGTGTACTCGTGAGATTGTGAAAGGGCTGGCAATTTTTCAGTTTACTACGAGCAGGAAGTGAGAGAGCTTTTACGCCGAGAGGGTGAACTTTGGAGCTGGGGTGCGAAATTGTGCGGCATAGTAGTGAAAATCATCAGTGTGTGTGTGGCATAATTGTAGTGTAGGATTTCGTTTTGCCACAACAGCCGCCTCCTTGTCGTATTTACGAGCAGGAGCGAGCTGTGCGGCAGGGTGGGGGGTGGGGGTGGAAAGCTCAATTGGGCGGGAGAGACTGGGAGTTGGTGCAGGATAGCGCACAACTACCACGATGGCGCTCTGTCGGTGAGAGCTTTCGGTGTGGCGCGCGCGAATCCATAGTCAAAACAAGACGAGAGTGCAGTGGCGGGAGCTTTCGCCTCCCTCACACCACTCTGGCGTCCCTCAGCGTCACAATAGTGTACGCTCTGCCGGCCATGCGCAGTGGCGCGCTGAGGGAGAAGGGCGCTATCGCGCATATCACAACAAATCGCAACGCCCGAAATGTGTGGCGCGTCACCATTATGGGGGAGAGATGTTTTTGTTGTGAGACCCAATGTGATTTCCATGCCGTTCTCCGCACGGTGTTGAGAAGAGCTTCTCGAAGGCGTCGAACGTTTTTCTCCCGCACAAGTGTTCTGTGTGTGGACTGCAACTCATATAGATAGACTGTTCTCGGGGTGAAAAGCAGAAGAGAGTGACGGTTTTTCCAGTGCAGAGTGACTGCAGTGAAGAGGGAGAGAATAGGGGCTCCATCAGAAATATCTGTGAGAAGTTTTCCTTCTTGCGTTGTGGAGCTTGAGAAAAGCCCACGCTTTTCCCACATTTTCATGGTGGTGAATTTTCCAGTGCGTTTCCAGGCGAGCAGCTTTGACTGAATTTCCTTCTGTTGTGTGTTGTTTTTTGGGGTCAAATTGTTAGCTGCAATTGTGTTGCATAAGGATTTTGGTATTCATTGATAAATCGTTGGTGAAGTGAGACTATCGTGGGGGTGAGTGCTAGACGGGGTGAATTATTGAGATTGATAGGGTGAAGCGAGAGAGGAAAATCCCTTTGAGTGCGACGCAAAAGGCGCGCGACGTGGAGGAGAAGAGGGAGTTGTGTGGCGTCTGTAAGTAGATTTTATTACGTATCAAAAATAATTTCACAACCCTGTGAAGGTGTGTGGGTGAAAATTCAAGGATTTTCCACTCGACATTTACGCCCACCCACTGAAATTTCACATCCCCTGCCACATTATATATATATTTTCGCCTATCTCCAAACATCACACACAATGCGATGGAATATTATTATTATTCCCTATTTTTTCTTTTACTTACACTTGTACATTTTTTTTTGTTTTTCTTCTACTGTGGCCAAGACGGAGAGAAAATATGTCTGGTTTTTTCTTGTCTTTTTGTGTTTGGAGCGCGAGCTTTTGTAGCTGATGGAGAGAAGCACGTATTTTTTCCCTTTATTAAGCATATTTGCAGCTTCGACCAAGTTTCTGCGTCTCACAATTCAACTCGCCCCAAATTACGTAACGCTATTTGATGTCGCTCGTTGGTATCAATTTCACTTAATATTGCATTTTATTGAATTTTAATGTCGTCGAGAGACCCTTTTCTCTCCTCCCACCCCTTTCGGCACGGGGTCGTTGGGAATTTCTCGTGAGTTTCGGGGGTGTGGATTAAATAATAAGGGGTTAGTCTTGGCTCTCGAGTTTTATACATACATTTTTTCTTCACTCTATTGCTCCACCCCGCTCTAAGTCCTCCACTGTGCACACCACAGAGATATGCCATGAAGGCATGGCTTTGGCGGGAGGGCGAGAGAGGCGAGGAATTGTGTGAATTTTTCTCTGTGGAAATTTTCACTGGTGGGATATTCCTTAAATTCGAGACACGTAGTCGTGAAGTTTTCTAATGAAATCCCCCATCCTTGCCATGTCATTTGTTTGCCTGCTACCGAACCATATGTGAGTGTGAGTGTGTTTGTGTTTGTGTGTGTGTGTGTCGAGGGCGCAGCCCGAAAATGGGGGGCTTCGCCAGAAAGAGGACGTCGAAGGAGGAGAGAGCTCTGAAATTTGCAGTTTTGCTATGTTTGTCAATTTTACTCCATGTCACAAACTTTCATTTATATGCTCTCTCTGTGCCTTTTTTGCGCCATAACACGTACTTTGGGAAGTTTTCCTCGCCTCTCGCGTTGTCCAGTCGTCAAAATGGGCCGCATTAAAAATGCACTGAGAATATGAGACAGGCATTTTCCAAAGGCGTGTGTTGCAGATGCTGGATGGCTCAGGATGGATTTATTGCAGCTTCAGTGCTATGTGTGGAAAGTAAAGCTCAGCACGATTTGGCGGGCGCGCTTTGGGAAGCGATGCGAATTAGTTGAAAAACTGGGTTTTATAAGATTAACCGAGCTATGTTAAAAGAACTATTTTTTAAAGTTTTTCTGTAATCTATGTTAAGACGTTTCCATAATGGGCTTTTAGTTTTAATTTTGTATTTGAAAATTTTTCAGTTTTCCTCTATTGAGATAGGGACATTAGGACTGTTTTCTTTCTTGAATGGGATTCGCATTTCTTGATTTATCGTGAAGAACGTACAAATGATTGTTATGCAAATCAATGGGAAGATGCTTGGCAGTTTAGAGACAGGAAAGAGCGCGCGGGTTAGTGTTTTGCCTTTGAGTTTACACTGCAAAAAAGTGTGGCGTGCAGGAAAAAGCCACATTAGTATCAAAAGCCCCGCGTTGGAGCAATGTTTTGATGTTTTTTCCCCACGAGTTGGTGTGGCTGTGTGTGTTTTGTTTACTACAATTTTTTGCTGACGCTGTGCGATAGTGTGTTCGCTCATGATGTATTGTGTCAGAGAAGTAAATTCTCTGGTTACGTTATATTTTTTTACATGCAACTCTTGCGAGACGCCAACTGGAGAGACACACTATGATAATTATGTTTTGTTGGAGAGCGCGCGAGGGATCGTTGAACAACGCTACAGTGTCGTACACACGTGCCCGCGACGCTGCTGCGTTGGTAGTGCGATAGTGTGGCGCTTGGGGCGGGGGGAGTGTGTGTAGAGTGTGAGTGAGTGTGTGTGTGTGTGTGGAGTGGGATGGAGTGAGTAGTGTGTGGAGAGTGCGATGGTGGGTAGGCTGCGGCCAGGCGGAATGAGTGAGATGGTGTGGAGAGAAAAAAGAATTAACATCAAATACACGCAAATAATTTCATTTTCTCTCTTTCCCACATTCTCGCGGTCGCTATATTGCGCGCCTTCTAATGCTATATTGTACGATTGTGTGCGCCAGAGTCACAGTCGCGTTCCCCATCTTGAGGCCACTTGAGTGGAGATGGTGTGGTGTTGTACAGCTCAGTCAGTTACCGATCGTCTCAGTGGCAATACATAATAATTGCGAGTGGTATTTCTTGCGACGCAAAAGTTTTGCCTGCTGAAAAAGAGTGGCGCGAACAGTTTTTCGCATTTTTTTCCGTGTGACCCCTTTGCGCGCTAGCTGTGAGTGACAATCCTACTACCAATGACAGTGTCCTGATTGTGTGTGATGGGAAGCACTCACTGTTGTCCGTGCCGATGCACTATGCTGGCGTGATTGGAGTGTGATCAATGTGTAGAATGTAGTATAAATCAGTGATTTCAGCCACTCACTTTTACTGTGTTGTGTGTTTGCATTTGCAACATTTTTTCACCACTGCACACACTTGTTTGTGCGAGAGCTGCAGAAGGAGTGTTTTGGTGCAACACGTGCTCTGACAGCTTGTATCAGCACCGCAGTGCTCCTTATCAGGGATGTTTGCCATGCGAGATGGGCGATATCCGTTGTAAACAATTGCGTTGGAGCTTTTCTTGCTCAGTGTGACAAAGAATAATTCTGCGTTTGGTGAGAGATTCTGTGCGAAGTGTTTTCTTCGTTGTCCACGCGCGAAAAGGAGTGTGTTGAAGAAGAAGAAAGAAACCGAAGCTTTGAAGAAAAATTCATAATTTTTTCGTGTTTATTTTATTAACATACAACACACGAAAAACCTATAAATATTTTTTCTTCAATTTTTTTTCCGTGTGTGTTCTGCTCGCCTGTCGATTTTGTGAGAGGGAGAAAAATTGTGGAAGAAAAACGCAAGAAGGAGGGAGAGAAAAAGAAACTAATTTATGTGTGTTTCATTGAAATTTGTTATTCTGATTCAAAAAAGCACTCTATTATTGAATTTCTCACCCAGAGCCTAGATATATAAAGTTTTTTTTTGGGTGGCTCAAAGCGGCGCAGCAGTGATTGTTGTGAGAGCGTGGCATTTTTGTCCTGAGTGCACAAATAAGGGTGATTTTTGTCGGGTGGAAGACAGAGAAGAAGAAGTGTTAGTTCTGCGCCTCTCCTGCCGCGGAGTTCTCTGTGTTCGTAATTGTGTGCTCAATAGCAGAATTAAACAATTATTTACCTTTTTGTTTTGTGTATCATCTTGGCACAAAAAAAATTGACTATACAAGTGTGCGAGGGAGACGGCTCGACTGGCGAGAGACGAAGTTGGTGGAGAAGAGAAACCCGTGAATCTTCACCTGGATCCCATTTTCATTTGCAACACAAATCAAAGGTGATATTTTATTTTTTTTTTTCTAGGAATTAATTTCAAAATGGGTATGCTTTTTCCACCGAACGCGAGTCTTCTGTGACTCCTTTTTTGCTGCGCGGTGTGTCTTCTTCATGGCTTTATTTTTGTGTGTAAAGCCTATGTTTTGTCTATTTTTAAACCCAAACCCAAGAGAGATTCCCAACCTTTATAGGTGAATCTGTTTGCGAGTGCTTCTCTTTGTCTGGTTTCTTTGCATTTATCTGCCTCCGCACACACGAAATCTGGTGGTGCGAGCGACTCTGTTGGTCATCCTATGTAGAGAGGCGCGTGTGAGTCCTTGAGACATGTGTGCAGATTTTTTCCCCGTTCTTCTGCGTCTCTTGTGAAGAGACTTGCCCGTACGCGCGCGTTGGGTTATTAGTTAATAAGCTCAGGTGTGTGTGAGAAAATGATACGGAAAAGTACAGAATGGTGAAGTGAGACGCAATTGTGTGCCCTTTCAGTTCAACACTCCCGCCCAATTTCGACACTTTTGCTCTTGTTTTCACTCCCATGTTGTTCAATGGTGGCCCACAGAGAATGGGGTCATCTAAATAACCTGGAAAATTTTATCACTCTGCTGTGTGCTTGTTTTTATTGTGTTTGGCGCCTCCTACAAGGGTAAATTAGTATCACTTTGAGCATTTTGTTACGGCTTCACCTCCAATGGACTGTAATTTCATTACTCTCCGTCTTGGCGCATTGCCCTTCACTGTCTCCTCATTGCGTACTGAGACAGATATTGCTTAGGATGCAGTGTGTTTGTTAATTGCAACTAATTGTAAAGAGTGTGTACCTGTGATGCCAATAAAATCACCGATAGTTTTGGGGTGGCTTGAAGAGCAGGAGAAATCAATTAGTGCCGACGACTGTTGGCTAATAGTTAACACACAAACCATCTCAGTGCATCTTCTGGCTTTTCTCATGGATGATTGGAAGAGGGAGAGGGGAAAAAGAAGAAGTTTTTCCACCCCCAATTGCCATGTTGTCAGGTTTTCGTGTTGCTCTGCAGTGGCGCTTTTGTGTTGTTTGAAAAGCGAGTTCCCAAAAAGACGGACACACGAATTCACACACCCTTTTGCGCCAACTCCAGCTTGCCGACACACTCTCGGGGAGACGTGTTTCGGTGTGACACGTGACAAAAATGTGTTGAAGCTTTTTCAAGGATACAGTCGGAATTTGAGACGATTTTCTCATAGTGCTTTCTCCCCCCGTGCCACTTCTCTTCTACGAATTAATATAGATAAGAAGGTGTGGATCGATTTTGAGGATTGGATGGCGCGCACACTTTCACAATCCCTCCTCATTTTCTGGGCATACTTTCCATGGCATGATGTTGTACAATGATTATATATAGGGTGGTTATGAATGTGGGGAGCTTTCCGCATTGGTCATCATCTGTGACAAATCTCTTGGCGAATGTGAACAAGCTGAGGAAATCGCCTTTTTCTCTCACTCTCTCGCTCATGCTTGTGAAACGTGAATACATAAAGCACAAACAATAACACGATCAAAGTGACTGAAAGTCAACCAACTTTCAGTCAGCAACACCCGAATAAAGTTGATGTTATCATGATCGCGACATTCGTGAATTTCCTCTCTCGCTCATCGGCATTTTCGCGTTCACAGACGCGAAAAATACTTGAAAAGTTCACATTATTTCTTAAAGATATTTTCTGAGCCTTTTTTCTCCTACAGCGGCATTTCAAGTGTGATTATTAAGGTCGATTTTGGCGTGGTTTGTTTTGGGAAAAATAGAGGGGATTTAATACATATTCATGTGTGTGAAAATTCAAGACTTGTGGACTTGGGAAAAAAAATTCCGTTTCGCCTAAAAGTCGTTAAAGATTAGATAGTGAATTGAGGAGATTCTACCACTCCAAATTGAGATATTTCGAGGTCAGTGCTGATCAATTCTGCAGACCAATTCTGCCAAGAATGTAATTCGGATAGACTAGATTCAGAGTCAAGCGGAGAAGTTTAGCCAAATAATAATCATGTGTTTTGACTATTCATAAAAGTTGCGAGCTCTTTTTTCCATCGTCGCGCGATGTGTGTATTTTTTGCTTGAACATTCATCCCTCATCTGCTAAATCAACGGTGTGTATTTTTGATTGAGAATCACACCATCGCGCGCACTCTGAAGATCATGATATGCTGTATATATGTTGGGGAGAGAAAACTACGCATTTTATCTATTTTTATCAAGAAAGGCTTCACACACTCTTGAGACGCACTTCGAGACGATATTCTCCTTTTCCCTCGCATGTTCTCGTCTCATTCTCTTCTTCTTCCACTAAATGTGCCCATGAATTTCTTCGCAAGATAGGCGCGAGTGCGTGTGTGCGTAGGATTTGGCGCGCGCGTGTGTATTGGAGCAGCTGACAAATATTTGGTGGAAAAATTTGCACGTTTGCCGAATGACAGAAAAGCGTTCTAGACGGCAGAGCTCCTGTTTAGCTGTGAGGCAAATTAAGAGGCAATTGTTGAATTTGTTTAGACTCTTAGACATGGTGATAAAAAAGCTCAAATTGTTTCACTCACCGTTGAGAGAAGGGTTCAATGTCACTGGAATTTTTGACCTTGCCGCCAAAGTATGTGTGAAACGCCACAGTTTTCAGCGCGTCTTTCCACCATTTCACGTGTTAAATCCCAACACACATTGTTTGTGTTAATGAAATGTTACACAAAAGTGCATTACATCATTTCCAATATTTTAATTGTCAATATTTATTGCCACTTGCATAATGTGCATGTAGAGTTGACACACAAAAAGAGGAAAAAAAATGCGTGTGTTGCGGAGATAAAAGCAGATTTATCTGGCTGTTGTTAACGTTGTAAATAAATAAATATTACTTTTTTTATGAGTATAGAAAAATTCTCCCACAAACAGTCGATGTTATTGGTTTTAATTAACCCCTACGGGGTTTAATTAGTAGTCAAGGAAGTAAAACTATTTTTATTTCACAAATCACTGGGTGAGTAATGGCGCAAAAATCTCTCTCTCTCTCGCTCTCAGTCTCTGGATGGTTTGTGCAAAATTGTGCACAGCGTTGGAGACAAAGGAGATTTGACATTAGAAAGACGTAATTTGGCCGTTTTTCTCTCTTCTCCAACTTTTGTTTACGTGCTTAATCTAATTAGTACAATTTTTCAGCCAAAATGCCTCGTTCACGCGAAATTCTTATAGTTTTCAATATTTCATGTTGTGTGTGTGTGGCAAATTTTCGTATGAGGAGTTTTTAAAGGCAAGAAATCACTTTTTCGCAAACTTGTTCCTCATTCATCAATTCAATGTGCGCGAATAAGAGGGAGAGACAGAGAAAGAGCGATGAATGTTTTTTTTCGGCAATCTGTGGGAACAGGAGAGATGAAAGGTGGAAATTTACTGGTTCACTGCCTGTTGTACTCAGCTTTTTAGAGTGAGTTTTGCGTAAAAATTTTGCGCGGTAAAAGATAAAAGTCATGGTGAGCAGAGTATAAATTGCATTTGGTTGAACTGTATTAAACTGGATATTCGTCTACCTTTTCCGCAATACACGAAAATTACAACAATTCTTTTTGGGGAGAAAGAAACACCAGAGAGTCTCTTTTCTCTCACCCAAAAAATTTACACACGGAAAAGATTTCTTTCCTATACTTTTGCGCCTTTCTTGTGTGCGCGCGCGAATTTTATTTTTGGCAATAAAAATATGCGAAGAAGTCCAAATGTAGATGAAATTTCAATTCAACAGGCAACACACGATTGTAACAAAAGTGATGATGAGGAAGAAATGAGTGTGGAAATTGAAATTGGAGTTGAGGCGCGATGGTGAAAAATTGTGTAACTTTTTCACCGTCACATCCTTATACACACATTGTTTGGCATGATGAGTGTTTTGTGTTTGAATGCTTCTTCTCTCCAGCGCGAGAGAGTGTCTTTGACTTTTCCCACTCTTGGCTGTGCGCTTTTTGTGTGCTTTTCTCTGAGTGTACTTTGTGGTGTCTTTTTTTCCCAAGCTGTGTTTTTGACCACCTCTAATCGCTATTATTGCCTATGGCGAAAAATCTCCTCAAGGTAATTCAAAAACTACGACGAATATTTTCGCACTGTTCAATGGGAGGATTTTTTTCTGCCCTGCGATTGACTTTTTTCACGGCCTGCAAGGTGTTTTCATCGCGCTGCCACGCGAAATGCAGGCTCGCCATGTGTGCGAGCGGGGCTTCAAGTGTTTGTCCGTGACTAGAGATTTTTTGGCAAAAACATGCATATATGTATGTATGATCGAGAAATGCGGAGGGACTGCGGCAAAAAGATGGAGTGTGTTTGTGAATTTTTTCCTCTGCTTTGGGTTACAAGCAATAAATAAATATTCGGCACAATCTGTGTACGAGCGAGATAGAGTGTGTTTTAAAGCCAAACAACATCCAGCCTTCCACGAAAGATATTGGCTTGAAAAGGTCAACCGGCAAATCTTTCTTTTCGCACAAGCGGCCACCGAAGCATAAGTTATATAAAGGAGCGCATGAAAAAAAACGTTGTCTGGGAATTTGAATATCTTTCAAATTTAATCTATAAATACTTTTCAATGGGAGTTTTTTTTGCTGGTTTGTTTTGTATATATATGGAGAATTTGCTGGAAAATGTGTTGTGGAAAAATAATAATAATTCCGGAAAGGCGAAATTTTTACTTTAAAAATACAACACGGATAAATGCTGTGTTGCGTGACATTTGGCCGCGGTGTGTGTGTCGGTAATATGTAGACTAATAAATAGTCTAATTTGTGAGATAGGTGCAACTATAAAATTTATTGGTGTGCTGAAGAAGTGATGATGGCTGGGATTTGGTGGAAAAGAGTCATTCACAAGCTTCATAAGTGTTTTTAAAATAACTCTGGCGAGACCATAAAAATCCTACTGAAAACTTGATAAATGGTTTTATATTGCAAATAAGGCTCGAATATGTATAATGACTATCACATGATTATGTTGATCGGTGTTTCCAAATTGAATAATTTTGCCCGGATCGTGTGCGTCAGTTTTCATATTCTGCGCTCTCTCTTTCACTCATTTTGGAGGATGTTTATTTTTGGAAAATCATGTCCACCGATTGCAGTGCGAATCCTTTCGGGAGAATGGTGTTATAAATATGAGAAAATTGGTGAAGAAATTTGAGAAGAGGGAGGAAGAATTTTCTGGCTGCTGGAATGTGCGATAGAGAAAGATGTTGGCAGAAGGGAGAGAAAAACTTGTTTTGGCCAGTGAGACCATTGAATATTTATGTGGAATGGGTTTTTGGACAGAATTTTTATTATTTGCGTAAGAAATTCGATTGGGAAATGGCGAGAATGTGTGAGTGTGATGGGCAATATTACGCGCGGAGATGAAGAAGAAAAGCTCTTTGCTCTATACCGAATATTTGCCTCATGAATAAATAACACTGGTGCAGACTACTTATTCGCCATTTCATTGAGATGAGAGATGATTTCTCCACTATTTGACTGTGAAGTCTTCCGTTGATGGCCAGAGAGGTGGGGCGGGCGCTTGTGAGAAAACTCGTAGAAATATAGTGAAGCAGTCAATAATATAAGGAGTTGAATTGAGAGTGATGTAAAATTGGCAAGGATATGAGCTCTTGAAATTGAAATTATTTGCTCTTGTTAAATGTTGAAGCTCTTTGATATTGTTTTCCATTCAAATATTGGCTGAGGAATGGTTGATGTGTGCACAGTGCTGACGCCGACGCCCTTTACACAGAGGGTCTGAGAGAGAATGGTTGCTTATGACGCCCTCTTGCTCTTGTCTCTTTCCAGTGGTAGCCACGACTGCATTTGTATCGACGAGTTCTCATGGGCCACCGTGGCGGAAGCTCACCGCCGCGATGTCCACGTCCTTTCAGAACCGAATGTCGACGCTGGTGGCGTCTACGGCGGCCAGCGCTCTGTCATCCACGGCAATGACGGCCTCACAGACGAACGACCCCAGGGCGAACGCCGGCATCGTCCTGCAGGGCTACTATCGCAAGCTCAAGACGATGAAGAAGAAGTACTTTGTGCTATACAGTGACACAAAGGACAGATCGGCGCGCCTCGAGTACTATGACAGTGAGAAGAAGTTCAAGACAAACTTTGGCCACCCGAAGCGCACCATCGTGCTGCGCACGTGCTTCAACATCAACCGGCGCACGGACACCAAGCATAAGTGGGTGGTGGCGCTGTACACCAAGGACGATTGCTTCTGCATCGTCTTCGACACAGAGCAGGATCTCAACACATGGCTGAGAAGTCTGCTGTCGCTGCAGCGCGGCGATGATTCCACGGGTGACCCGCCGAGGCCCAATTTCGGTGAGTGACAGACACGCATTTATATTCAGCCAGGCGCCCCATTTTATTCACCACCCACTCGCCATTACGGCTCTCCCAAAGGACGAGGTGGAAAATGATAATATGATGATGATGTAGGGGAGAGTGGGCTCTGGTCGGCAGAGCATGTTTTGTCATAGAAGAAAGTATACAACTTGCACAGGCATTGGCCCCAAACTATTGAGGGCCTCTCATTTGATTTACGAGAAGAGGCATGCGTTGGAAAGCACCCTCTCGGTTTTATCTTCTACCATTCAGAATGAATAACAATTCCGTATGCTGGCTCTGAGGGTGGCGTGGAGTCGCTTTTTTCACGATCACTCGGCGACACTTGGCGGTGTTATCCATTCACTTGGCAATTTTGGGTGACACGCGTCTTACACTGGATAAAATTGACATTTATATGCATAAGGAAGTAAGTTTTAAGTGATACAAACACATAAAAAAAGAGACGAGAGTCGTAAATGCTAAACGACATTTTATTGCTATATCAAACACTTAACTCCATCCTCGGGATGTTGCGAGCGGAGCGGTGGAGTGTAGAGATATGCTATGAGAGGACATTCCTGCGACTGCAGAGAGAGTCAATGAGGGGTATTTTGGACACACAGAAGAATCTATATACTGTAAATATTTTCACTCGGCACCAGCATAAATTTTCAGTGCGTATATCTTGGAGTGATTAATTTGTCATCGGCTTAATTGCCTTCTTTACCTTTTTTCTCTCTCTCTCTCTCTCTCTCTCTCAATATCATTCCATGGCAGGCAATTTATAAATTACCTCCAGAGTGATTCTGGTGACAGTTTCTCACAGAAAATTTACCAACAAGACAAATTTTTTTGCGCACCGTGATGGAGCTTTTTTTAACTGAACATATAAATGTGACTCTTAATTAAGATGATGCTCTAATTTTGGCATTTCCCCCTAAACAACACCAAAAGTTTGCTGATGGTGATAAAAAAGATGAAAGTAGTGCAGTTTTTTTTTATGATTGATAGCCAAAGAAAAAAGATATTTGAGATTTCACTCTGTTTTTACCGTTTTAGTGGCATTTTTTATCGGATGGCACTTTAGTTTTGGGTGATATTTCAGAAAAGGGAAGAAAGTGGAAAGACTTTTTGCCATTTAAGTACAATGTTATTATCACGATAAAGTATATTTATTTACTTAATATGGCAAATAAATTGTGTGCAGGTCGACTTGCTCTCTCGCTCGCTCTCTCTGTGGCAACATTTGACGGTGTGTGAGGATTTATATTTGTAATATTTTATACATATGGTGGAGATTTCGTCCCGTAATATTGATGCCACTTGCTGAGTGTCTAATCGTAAATAATATTTTTGGGAGCGCATTATGGGCGATTTTTTTCTGTTCAGGAGAGCGCGCGTCCAATAAAAAATAATAATAAATGTTGGGTGGCATAAAAAAGGCCAAATTCCATTGAACAAACAAGAATGTGAACAGAGAAAAACAAGTGAAGCTTTCTCGCAATATTTCTCGTTGTTGTTGCCTGGTGTGTAAACAAAATTCTTAACTCAGGTGAAGGTTTTTTTTTGCTTCTCTGCCCACCTTCCTGCACCCATCAATCGCTCAAAAAAAAAAAACGGGCAATCGCCAACTGTGTGTGTTGGAGAAAATTTTTATTGGTTTTGATTTTGCGGGAACGTGAGATTTTGTGTGGGGAAAAAGAGCGGGAAGCCGGGAGTGTGATGGTCGATTTAGTTTGAGAATTTTTATGACAACCATCTAATGTGATGATTAATCAAGACGAATGAAAATTCCTGCGAATGTCAATGGTCTCACTCTCGAGAAAGAGTCAAGGAGGCGCAAAAAAGAGTGCTCAAGAGAGGGGGAGAAGAGTATGAGAACGTTCGCGCGCGACTGTGAAGAATTTTAGGAAAAGAATTGAAGAATGAAGAGACCGCTAAATCATTTTTTTCGTTTCTTTCCACAACCCGTAAAAAGCGTCACATGAAGAGAGTCTTTTTGGTTTGCCGTGAAGGCGAAGAGGAAAAAAAAAGAGATGTACAAAAAGAGGCACATTTTGTGATTGTTTTGTTGTGAGCGCGCCTCATTCATTCACTCGATTTACAACTTACTATTAAAACTTACGTTACACACTCACGTACTACAAATCCATTTAATGTTGCGCTTGTTTCTATCGAATGCCACTCTGATGATGATGGTTTTGTGTATGAGTTTTGCGGAGGGGAAGCAGAAGTGGAATACCATCAATAAAATATGTATTAAATTGTTCCGGAAGTATTGTGCGGCCCCTCAGTTTTCCTTGCCTCTCACGCACGCACCTTCAATGTCCATCCTCTGGGGGTGGTTTTGCGGTGTGCGGAGAGAAGCCTTCCCGATCGTCTCTCTCTCTCACTCGTATTTTTCAAGGCGATAAGGGATAAATATGTGTATATTGTGTAAAGGGAACAATATTTATCTAACAATATCAAGGTAGAGAAATTATGTGTATGAAATAGAAAACGAACATGTGGCATTTAAATTTAATTTATGCCCTTATGAATTTTCTTCGAGTTAAATATCACATGAATTACTCCCGGAAAAAGGGGAATTTAGTATTTTAGTATAAACAGAGGCACGCACGTGTGGTTATGAGGATGAGGAAATTTGGGAAAATGTGTGCTAATGTTTTATCAGGTATTCTTCTTATATTATTTTATTTAACACTGCTGGCTTGTTAGAATAACTTGATTGGGGGGAAAAGAGCATAAAAAAGTGACTGACCCATTTTTCTTTTATTCGATTTTGTCAATGAAATCTTTCTATTCTCACATACTAACCTTTTGAATGCACATTGAAGAATCAATATAAATACTTAAAATTCGATGACCTGAAATATACAATAACTCTATTTCTGTTCGCCAACCCTCAAATTTGCCATTCACACTGAAGGGATGGTGGATTGAAATGAAAGTGTATAAATAAATATCAATTGAGCTTGAGTAACGTGGCATTGCCAATTAAATCGCTACTCCCATTCATACACCATTCATATATTCAATGAAATCTCACCTGTCGATAGTTTTTAGCGTGGCAATATATATGTATATGTTTTAGCGGCAATTACGGAATTCGGGGAAAAGTGATATTGACTGATAAATGGTAGGGAAATGGTATTAATTAGCACATGTAGACTTTGGACTATAAATCTCAATTTTCACTTGTATTTTTGCAAATTGTCGTTACAGTTTTGGTAGTGCAATAAATTTGACTATTACCGTAACCTTTTTTCCAACTCCTCTTTCTCGGTCAAAGTGATTCGCTTATGTTCACATGGGCACACGTGCCTGAAGGTTGGGAAGATAAAGAGTATAGGCAGGGCGATGAAGGGGAAAGCATGAGAAGTAATACGCGAAAAATACGTCAATTATTTTTCCATTAAAATGTGTATAAATTTTGTCTGTCTCTCTCACGCGCGAGAGTCTTTTTTCTGCCTTCACGTGGAGGCGCGTTGTTTTTTTTTTTCTTTGGATGTTGACGGAAATTTTGACGTGTGTTAAGAAGAGAGCGCATACATTTTGTGTTGGGAAGTTTGTATACGCACATGATGATTCTTTTGGGCGCGCGAGAAGAGACCAAAATTCACTCAAGGGGGGAATAAATCACATCGCAGAGAGTTGCGAGAGAAGAAGAAGAAATAAAAAGAGTGGCGGAAAAGAAAATAATTGAATTATGATGGAGAGTCGGAATGTGTATGTTGAACATCATCATTCATGATGGAAATTCCTGTCTCCACGCATGGCACCTTTTTTCCGTGCTAGCTTTAGTACATGTTTTATTTTATATGTTGTCTTGTTTACCCATTTATGATGTGTAGAATATTTCGACTCCAGAGAGAGAGAGATAGAGATAGAGGAGTTCTAAGTGCAAATTAGCTATTTTTGGCTACGCGCGTGGTGCAATAAATTCTTCTTTGGCGGAATTACTTACCATTATTAATTGTTACTCCCCAGTTAATGACTCTTGCAGGCGAAATGCGAAAAGTCTCTGGCCGAGAGAGGAATTTTATTGCCTCAAAAATGGGGCTTATTACATAAAGTTTGCTCCTTTTCTCTCGACTGAGGGAAATTTTTCGGTGGGTGGTTTCAATGCAAGAAAAGAGGAGAGAGAGGGAGACAGCGAGTAAGAGACTCCCTGGCATGCAGCAGAATGCGCCAAAGGAGGGAGCAATAACCAAGTGAATTGTTGATGTTTTTATTTTTAAATAATGTCGCTGTTAATAATTCAACAGCCACTTCTTGGCCCTACAAGCATCCCTCGGATGGCATATTTTTCTTGGCCCTTTCGAGTATTGCCCTTTTCAACCTCGACATGCTCTTTTTCTCCCCCCTTTTCTGAAAACATGCATAGTATTTATGGGAGATTTTGCATTATTGTGCGATGTTTGTGTGAAATGCAATGAAGAGGCGCAGCAAAGCCTCAGTGAAATTTACTTGTGCAGAAATTTATGGGCAAGCCAACATCCTTCTTCCCAAAACACATTCCTCTCCTAATGCTTGACTCCAGAGCGGACGCGCCAAATCGTTGCCAAGCTTTTCTTGAGAATTATGCAAGTGTGTGCTCATTTTTTTTCGCCCCACAGAGAGAGTGCCGAAAGCTCAGTCGATTTAAGTAGCACTTGTCGTAGGGAATGCTCAACTCTTTTTTCGTCCAGTGCATGGTCGGAAAAAACTCTCACCGTCGGCGCTTGCTGACCGAGACAGCGGGGAGAGTGAGAGAGGGGTGGAAAGGACAGAGTCATACACTTAAAATGCTGGTGTGCACAAGAGTAATCTATGTTTTCCCATACATTTTCACACTATGCGAAAGAGAGAAAGAGAGAGTGAGGACACTATTATAAATTTGCTGCCGCAGTGCAAGTTGATGACAACGACAGCGATGATAATAAAGTAAAAGTACACTTTTTGGGATGTGGAGAGTCAGCTTTTACGGGTAGTTGGAGACATACATAGACTGA